TCTCCCTTGCCGTTTTTATTACCGTTCTAATTGTCTGTATTTATCACAAGGTGTCCCTTGTGATACTTGGATCTTTGCACACCGCATGAGACCCGTCAGTGTGTGGCGCTCACCTATCCTTGTGGGACCACGCACAGTCCCTGTCCTCTACCCAACCCCAATCCTTCTCCCCCAGATGTCTTCAGTCACTTGCACTGGACCCAGAGGAGGCCAAATTCTCCTTCAGAACCGCTGATGTCATCCTAGTGAGCCCAGTTGGGTCTGTGATGAGCTTCCATTGGGAAGCACCTGGGTAAACCGAGTCATGGAGCCCTCAGCCCCCTGTCCAGGCAGTGATTTCTTTCAATTCATGGAACACAAATCAAAATGGCACCATGAGACCACCGTCTGGGGTTGAGAAGCCTGACTGGCCATGAGGGTGGCAATACAAGATGGAGCAAACTGTCACCTCCTAAGCCAGGAAGCAAAGCCGGAGTGATTGACACCCCAGGAAACGCCCCAGTGGCCTGCTCCCCTCCCCCAGCTTTCACCTTTTAAAGGGCCACTACCTCCCCATAGCTGCAGTGTATAGACTCCAACTGTTTACCACCGTGACCTATGGGGGATACTCATCCAAACCCCATCAAAATCCCCCAGATCACTGGCTTGCAAGGGGACGTCTGTGGGCTAGGGGTATGGGTCGTTTGTACACTTGAACTGCAGTCCTTCCCCTAAGTGCTATGTGTGTTTTGTGAGTCAGTCACATATCACCCCAGAGTTGGGTACATTGTTAGGGAGTCTGTCCTACCATTAGGCTTTCTGAGTAAGGACGGTTTTGTGCGTCCGTGGGATAACAGGCATATGCCATCAATTCCCTGGGATGTGTTTTCTCTGCACAACTTGGGTCACGGGTAAAGGAGGCCATTGTGTGACTTTTCTGGGTCCCTTCAGAACCCTGGTGTGGTGGTGTGTCCTGCTGTCCGTGGACTGCCGTGATTCCATCCTCTGTTTCTATGACTTGATTATTTTAGGTACTTTATGTAAGGGACAGCGTTTGTGCTTCTGTGCAGGATTGTCTTTCCTGGTGTCATGTCTGCCGTGCTCCTCTGTGCTCTTGCAAACTGTATAATCTCATCCTTGTTTGTGGCTGTGTAATACTCCGCTAGCAGGATGCTGTTGAACACTCGGCCTTGGGTTCAGCTGAAACCTCGTTCACTTGGATGGACTCACATTTATTACAGGATGGATTAGGGGTTGGGGTCCAGCTGAAGTGCTGTCCTTCTTCTCCATGCTGGCCGTGTCCTGTTTGTGGCCACGGGAGTGGAATTCCCAATCTGCCCTGTCACAAATTTTCCTGCCATGTTTCCCTGCAGCCCCAGGTGGTCAGTGAGGGCGCCATGTTGTTCAGCTTTCAGATAACTGTGTCTCTCTCCTTGCCCTGAGCAGATGTCCACCTGGAGGTGTCCCTGACTTTCCCTGCCTGGCTGGGACCCCAGAACCTGGGTCAGCACCCCAAAGTCAGGTCCTTCAGGTCGGCTGAGTCATGGTGGCCACCTGCAGATGGGACACGGAAGTGACCAGTGACTTACGGGGTGCCCGGGGTTGGTCTGGCTGTTGGGGTCCTGGATGGACGTGGTGACTCACAGCCAAGTGCGGTGATACCGGGCACCTGAGTCACCGTGACTCCCGGGACCTGAGGATGGTGTTTTGACACCATGGCCACGTGGTGCAAGGGTCAGCAGACGGCCTCGGGGGACTTGCGTGACACTTGTGGTCTCGGGTGACAGTCGTGTGACTGAGCCTGAGTCCCTGCGCTGGGCAGAAGTGGGCGTCATGTACTGGACACTCGCACAGTGAGAAATCGCATAGCAAGTTGCTACAAACCAGGGGCAGAAGGCCACAGGGCCCTGGTGTCCCAGCCATAGAGAAGTAGTGTGACGTCCAGGGGTGACAGGACCACTTCCCGCACAGCCCTAAGACAGGATCCGTCCATCTGCAGGGACCCTATTTCCAAATGAGGTCCCATACTCAGCTCCCAGGTGACACAGCTTTTGGAAAAGTCACCATTCCCCTCAGTTCTATGGGACTTGACCATATTCCAATATGGTGGCCTGACCCAATGGACTGGGTGACACAGCTGGTCCAGGATGCCTCATCTCAAGCCCATAAATCCCATTTGCAAAGACCCTATTTGCAAACGAGGTCCCGTAGTCAGGTCCCAGAGTGACATTTTTTGGAAAAGACGCTCTTCCCTTGTAGTTAGCCATATTCCAATATGGCGGCTTGGCCATTGACCATATTCCAATATGGCGGTCTGGCCCAATGGAGTGGGTGACACAGCTGGTCCAGGATGACCTCATCTCAAGACCCTTCATTCCACCTGCAAAGACCCTATTTCCCAGTGAGGTCCCATGATTAGCGTCTGCAGTTTCGTCCTGATCGCACCTGTGTCGGGGTGACACGATTTCAGACATCACACGCATCTCCCATGTCTGAGACTCGAGACCTTGCAGCTGTCCCTTCAGGGCTCGTTCTTCCTCACCCTTGGGGCTCTGCTTCTTGAACGGACAGAAGAACGTGGTAAAAGACGGTCATTGCACCCACGATGTCCCCAGCCACACACAGCCAATCAGCCCTTGGAGCAGAACGGGACACCCTCTGTGCATCCACGCTGGCGCTGTCCTCGGCAGCTGTGGTTAACGGTGTGCCTGGGGCTGATGTGTCTCTATGGTGCGATCGAGTAGTCATTTAATGAATATTGCAGCCAACCATGGTGACCGCCAGATGTCCCCTGAGCTCACTTCCCATGCTGCCCTAAGAGCCTATCAAATCCCGTGACATCCAGGATGTGTCACTGCCCCTCCCCCCATCTTTGAAACTTGGAGTTTGTTGATTGAACCTCTTTCCTAGAGGAATCTGAGGACGTTACTTGATCGAGTTTAGAAAAACGTCAGTGCAGAGGAAGTGGCCGCAGGCTGTGACTGCTCCCATGTCATGGGTAGGACGGGGACAGGACCATCATGTCCACTAAGCCGTGTCCCCTCGCTGAGATGCCTCGGGACACTGCTTAAGAATTACTGAGCAGAACTGGGATGGAGCCGCCATTTGCAATGAGGGCTGGCTCGCTCGGATGAAGAAGAACCATGCAGATGTGAAGTAGAGTGAGCTTGGGTTGGGTTAGAGCGAGGTTGGGTCGGGGTAGAGCGAGCCTGAGTCAGGGTAGAGTGAGCTTGGGTTAGGTTAGAGCGAGCTTGGGTTGGGTTAGAGCGAGCTTGGGTTGGGTTAGAGTGAGGTTGGGTTGGGGTAGAGTGAGGTTGAGTTGGGTTAGAGCGAGCTTGGGTCGGGTTAGAGCGAGCTTGGGTTAGAGCGAGGTTGGGTCGGGGTAGAGCGAGCTTGGGTTGGATTATGGCGAGGTTGGGTTGGGTTACAGCGAGCTTGGGTCGGGGTAGAGCGAGCATGGGTTGGGTTAGAGTGAGCTTGGGTTGGCTTAGAGCGAGCTTGGGTGGGTCGGGTTAGAGCGAGGTTGGGTCAGAGTAGAGTGAGCTTGGGTTGGATTAGAGTGAGGTTGGGTTGGGATGGAGCAAGCTTGGGTGACAAGGTGACATCTGCCATTTTCTCCGTGGTCTGTCCACCAGAAGTCATTCGCAAGTCAGGAGGTGACCGTGGGGCTGTGTCACTCCCTCCCCAGTGTCACCCTGGGTCTCCTGATCTTCTTCATCCCATGTCACAGGCCCTGGGGTCATGGGGTCCAGGTTGACCCCTCAGGAAGCACCTGGGCTACGGGGAGCGTGCCGGGGTCACCATGTCTGTCTGTCTGTCTGTCCATCCCTTGCAGTGGAGTTCCTGTACTGTGATTTGTCTTCCCTGCGTTCCGTGCGGGATTTTGTGCAAAAATTCAAGGGCAAGAAAATCCCTCTCCACGTCCTCGTCAACAACGGTAGGTTCGGTTCGGGAAGGCGTAAGTAAGGAAGGGAGGGAGACAGAGCGAGCGAGCGAGAGAGAGAGAGAGAGAGAGAGAGAGAGAGACAGAGACAGAGACAGAGACAGAGAGGTAGCTGGGATTACAGTCATCAGCCTCCACACCCAGCCTCAGGTCCCACTTTTCCATTCATGGGAGGTCACAACAGTGTCCCCATTGGGCACATGTGGGAGGGAATCCCACACGGTGTCCCTGTCCACCCCGGCTCGGCCACCTCCGCTCATGTCACTCAGCCTAACTTCCTTGTCCCCAGCTGGGGTGATGATGGTCCCCGAGCGCAAAACCAAGGACGGATTTGAAGAACACTTTGGCCTCAACTATCTCGGCCACTTTCTGCTGACCTACCTCCTGCTGGACACCCTCAAGAAGTCGGGGTCCCCAGGCCACAGCGCCAGGGTAGTCACCGTGTCCTCAGCCACGCACTACGTGGGACAGCTGAACCTGGACGACCTTCAGGGCAGGTCAGATGTGTCCTGTGAAAGGTCACGGGGTCAAAGGTCTCCTGGTCCCTGCCTGTCTGCTGGACGGGCTAAGGGTGAACTCAGTGGCCGGGGATCAGCTAAAACATTTCAGCATCGACTTTTTCTCCCACTGTGTCCAGGTGACACTTTTATTTAACTTGGTGACATGCCATCAGCCATCTTCTGTTCACTACAATGGTGGAAAGTGTCACCCCAATGTCACCCCAAGGATAGGCTGTCGCAAGCTTGAGCCTGATACACGTGTTGGTGACAATGGCGCCTTCTCTCTGTGTCCTCCATGGTGGAAGGGCAAGGGGCTCTCTGGGTTTTTATAAACAAGGACATGGGACCTCATTGGGAAATAGGGTCTTTGCAGATGGGATTTAGGGTCCTGGACCAGCTGTGTCACCCACTCCATTGGGCCAAGCCGCCGTATTGGAATATGGTCAAGTCCCATAGAACTGAGGGGAATGGTGACTTTTCCAAAAGGTGTCACCTGGGACCCGAGCATGGGACCTTGTTTGCAAATAGGGTCTTTGTGGATAGAATTGGGATCCTGAGATGAGGTCACCTGGAGCAGCTGTGTCACCCACTCCATTGGGCCAGGCCGCCATATTGGAATATGGTCAAGTCCATAGAACTGAGGGGAATGGTGACTTTTCCAAAAGCTGTCACCTGGGGCCTGACATTGGGGACTCACTTGGAAATAGGGTCTTTGCAGATGGGATTAAAGGTCTTGGGATGGGGTCATATTGGACTCACTCCATTGGACCAGGCCGCCATATTGGAATATGGCCGACTTGCATAGAACTGAGGGGAATGGTGACTTTTCCAAAGCTGTGTCACCTGGGGCCTGAATGGGGCCTCACTGGGAAATAGGGTCTTTGAAGAAGGAATGATGGTCTTGAGATGAGGTCACCTGGACCAGCTGTGTCACCCACTCCATTGGGCCAGGCCGCCATATTGGAATAAGGTCAAGTCCATAGAACTGAGGGGAATGGTGACTTTTCCAAAAGGTGTGTCACCTGGGACCCGAGCATGGGACCTCGTTTGGAAATAGGGTCCCTGCAGATGGGAGGATCTTCCCCCAGGGCCTGTTGGCACAGCACAGCTCTGAACAATAGTCAGTCAACAACTGACCCAGGGATTCCCTGAGCTGTTTAGGAAGAGCCACACGGAGAGTCTTGTGACCACTCACGCGTGACTCCTGAGTGGGGCTGGGGCCGTATTCCTGGGTTTTCTGTTCTGTCTCGGTTGACCCAGGTCATCTTGTGCCCTGGGTCCCCTGTCACCCGGGTGGGTTCCCCACCTGCCTGGCGCCATCCATCTTTCCCCCATGTCCTCACTGGGGAAAGCTCGAGCTGCCCTTGCCCAACCCCAGCTGTTCGAGTGGCCAGCAAGGAGGGGACAGAAAGTGACATTTGCTCTGGGGAGCTTGTAATTGGGCCCGGAGTGTTTGCACAACCCAGCCTTCCTCTCTGTCCCCAAGGTCACCACGCTGTCCTTTCTGTCTCTGAGCTGGACATGCTGCAAAGTGGCCTCTGTGAAATTGGGGATGAGTTATCTCAGAGACATGGGTCCAGGTGGGGCACCAGGTGTTAGCGGCTGTGGGAGCAGAAGTGACCCCTTGGGGTGTTGCTCGGGGTGGAGCCCTTCCCTAATTCGCATCAGCTCCTCAGCACCCCAAAAGAAATACTGCAAAATCCAATGCAAAAATAAAAAAATGTGAACACCCAGGTGTGGTGGGGTACACCTGTAATCCCAGCCGCCCTGGAGGTTGAGGTCAGGAGGATCACAGTTGGAGGCCAGTATTTGCAAAATCGAGGGAGACCTCATCTGGAAAACACTGAGTGTGAACATGGAGACAGATCGGCTTTTTGTAAAGTGAGTATTTTCAGCAAATGCTCACGTTTGCAGAGTGAATATGTGTGTACTTAGCGTGTCCTGGCGGCTCTTCCTCCTTGTCGCTGGTTCACACCGTACTTATCTGGTAATATTTTCCAACAGTTAGTTGCCTGACAGGGTCAATCAAGGATACTGAGACAGGCAATGTCCTCATTAAAGGACGAGGCCATGGTGGCGTCACCAATCCGGCTCTTGTGAGTTTAATTTGCAGGTCCCTGGCACAGAACCTAACAGTGTAGGGGGAGAATGACTTCTGTCTTGTATGGCTCCGTTAAAGTGTCAGCTTTACTGCTCACCTGTCATGGCGTCTGTCCATATTTCACACAAGTGCATGTGTACGTGTCACCCGTCACCACGGCAATGCCTCGTTTTCCCCCAGTGACACAGGCTGAGCCCTAGGGTTTGTGGGTCACCCTGTTTCCGAGGCAGTGGGATCCCCAAGGCTTGAGCCGGCCATAAACACATCCTAGGGCCCCCGTGTGGGTAAAATTCACATTTAGAATAATGGAATTTCTTTCTCTTGTAGATTTGCCTTTTTTCCTACAAACTTGGGGAGAACACTTAAGTCTCCAATAAATAGGTTTTTTTTTTAAAAAAACATCTTAATGGGGTTTCTTTGCTTTCACTTTTTCCTTCCATTTCTGTGATGGCGTTTTAATAAATAGGTTGACTTGTATTTTGGTGGGACTCTTTTTCTCCTCCCCGCACCACCGTGGGCCACCCTACTAATTACAGAACCCCACAATTTCCCCTGGAGTTCTGGGATTTTATGACTCACTTTCCGCTTTATAAAGTCACAGCTCTTGCACCCCACAATCAAGTCTGGTGATTTCAGAACCAGATGCTCACGACAAACAGCTCAACTTTTCCACCCCCGGGCAATCACGCAATCACTGCCCCTGGTGTGGAGGACAGGATGCCAGGAACCTGCCTCCAAAAGCCTGTCCTGAGGCCGGGCACCATGGCTACACCTGTAATCCCAGCCACTGGGGAGACTGCGATGGGAAGGGATCATGGAAGTAGTTCATGAGAGACCCCCATCTCAATCCAGAAAAGTGAGGCATGGTGGCACCTGCCTGTAATCCAACTGCTCAAAAGCATACACAGTAGGACCCTGGTCCTAAAACAAGACCCCATTTCACAAATAACCTCAGCAAAAAGGGCTGGAGGAGTGGCTCAAGCCTCACTAGTATCCATGAGGCCCTGAGTTCAAATCCCAGCACCACCAACCTTTGTCTCATGTCTGACTTTAGAGGAAATTCCTTCAGTGTGACCTGTATGCTTGAGCTCTGACCCTGCCATTTTTGTTCTGTTTTATTTCCCAGATAGAGTTTAGCTAACTTTGCCCTTGTTGACCTTAAATGTGAGGTCTCCCTGCCTCCATCTCCCGAGTAGCCGGGATTACAGGCGTGCAGCACCACGCTTGGCCCCACGCCTCAGATTTTGCATTTTGGTTCCATCTGAAATGGGTGAAGCTACAGTTATATTATGAGGGTGACACAGCTCGAAGAAAGCTGGTGGGGAACTGTTAGTATTGGGTAGAATTAACTTTAGGGGAAAATCTCAAATTGTGATATAGACAGTTGGTGGTTTTTATGGGGTCTGGTGTCCCCCAAAGATCTGTGGGCTTTCTCCAGACTGTGACTCTATTGGGAGGTGGTGGAGCCTTTAAGAGGCGGGGCCTAATGGGAGGAAGTGAGGTCGTTGGGGGCATGGCCTGGAAGGGGCGATTGGTGGAGTCATAGCTGATTGGTCTCCTGGGAGGTGGTGCCGCCTTTAGGAGGCGGGGCTTTGTGGGAGGAAATGAGGTCATTGGGGGGCGTGGCCTTGGCATATATATTCCTCTCCACCCTTCCCCCTCCCCTCTTTCTCCTCCCCTTCTATGTTGTCTCTCTCCTCTCTCTTTCCCCTCTTTTTTGTCTCCCTCTGATCTCTCTGTGTCTCTCCCTCCTTCCCCTCCCCTCTCTCTTTCATTCTCTCTCTTTTGTCTCTCTCTCTTGTCACTCGCTTTCTTGACCATAATGCCGTGATCACCTTTGTTCCACCACCTGCTCCCACTAAGACAGAAAAATAGAGAGGGTGGGGGGCTATCCCAACAAGCCACGCCCCCAGTGACCTCACTTCCTCCCACTAAGCCCTGCCTCCTAAAGACTAGCCCAATCAGCTATGAGTCCATCAATCGTGTCCTCCAGGCCACGCCCAAATGACCTCACTTCCTGCCCACTAGGCCCCGCCTCCTACAGATTCCCTCCGCTCCCCACAGCGCCACCTCCTGGTGACAGGTCTTCAGCACACAGTCAGCCTTTGAATTAAATCCTCCAGCTGCAAACCCTGAAAATGGTGTGGCAATTCGTGACCTGCAAGCCGGGGCCAGGTGACGTGGGATGTTTCCAGAGATAGCAACGTCTTGACCATGGTTGCTTAGAAAATGCCCAGTCAGAAAAGCAATGCAGGCTGGGTGGCTCCGTCAGGTTGGAGTGACAGTCCCTGGGGCCATCTTTGGTGGCCATCTTTGGTGGCCATGTGGACTTTGCATGTGACTCCTTTCGAGGAGCATGAGAAGAGTTGGCTTTGCATTTGTGCTCAAGTGTCCGCTCTTGCACGGTGACGTGGCATGGTGAGGACTTGGGGTCACCGATGTGTCCACTTCTTCCTCCCCAGACGTGGCTACTCACCCCATGGAGCCTACGCCCAGAGCAAGCTGGCCCTGGTCCTGTTCACCTACCACCTGCAGCACCTGCTGGACGCCCAGGGCAGCCACGTGACGGCCAACGCCGTGGACCCCGGGGTGGTCAACACTGATCTGTACCAGCACGTCTTCTGGGGGACACGTCTGGTCAAGAAGATGACCGGGTGGTTACTCTTCAAGGTGAGTCTGTGGCACTTGACGTGTGGTTGGGACCTGTGTCAGCCATGGCTACGCCTGTGCCCAGTGAGATGGCTTTGGCTGCACCCATCACATTGTGCAATGGTGGCCTGGTTGCCTCTGAGCTTGGCATAAATCCATCCTGAGCCAGAATTGCAAAGTCCCGATAATTTGCTTCTATCTGCACCCCTTCTTTCTGACTGGTTCCTGAGCCCCTGGCCCGGGCCACTTTAAAACCCTGCGATGACCCAGGGGAAAGGATTTGTCCTCTGAAATGACTTTGGGGTCCCACAGCCCCACAACCCCACATAGTTCAGGAAAGGAACATACAGGTCAGTCTTGCATGTTGAAGGATGTGTGGGGACGTCCTGCAATGGGCAAAATGCATTTGTTTTGTATATGATGGTGGTGGCTTTAGTGTGACCCAAGACTCACTCAGTACAAGGGTTTTGCAATGGGTTTTAGGATGCACCTTCAGCTTCTGGCATTTCCTATATAGGGACCAAAAAGGGTTTTTGTTCTGGGGTCCTGAGAGAGGAATGGTAGAGAACAATATATACCCTTTCAAGGCCACGCCCCCCCAGTGACCTCACTTCCTGCCATTAGGCCCGCCCCTTACAGGCTCTACCACTGGCCAATAGTGCCACAGGCTGCTTCTCTATACACCCTTCATGGCCACGCCCCCAGTGACCTCACTTCCTCCCATTAGGCCCGCCCCTTACAGGCTCTACCAGTGGCCAATAGTGCCACAGGCTGCTTCTCTATACACCCTTCACGGCCACGCCCCCCAGTGACCTCACTTCCTCCAAGTAGTCCCCCCCCCCCAGTCTTAAAGTTCCAGCATCTCCCCATAGTGCCACAGGCTGGAGAGCCCAGACTTGAGGGCGCACAGGCCTTTAGGGGACAATTTAGAGCCAACGAAGACGGTCACTGTCTGTATCACGGTTTCAGGTTTGAGAGCCCGTGGCAGGGTGGCTGGAGACTTCATACGTTTTCCCTGAGGTCACAGGGTCCTTCAGAGGAGTGTGCATTTATAAATAAAGTTCTGGAAACAGAATTACAAGAGCGGGTAGGATGGGAGAGCCCTTGGAAGAACATCGAGCACCATTTTGGACACGGACAGGTCCAATGCCCTGATCTGGACAGGTCCATGGCGGCCCCTTAGATAAGTAATAAGATTGTTGTCCAGCCCCATCCATTCCCCTGCAGCAGCCATAATTTCTTTCTTCTTCATGGCTGTATAATACTCCACACAGACACCACAGGAAGGAGCATGGACGTCCATCTACGCGGCCGTCACCCCAGAGCTGGAAGGACTCGGTGGCCGCTACCTGTACAATGAGAAGGAGACGTCGTCCCTCAAGGTCACCTATGACCGGAAGCTTCAGCAAGAGCTGTGGGACCAAAGCTGTCACATGGCCGGTGTCCCTGACATCAGCCAGGGCGCCATCTTGGAATAGCTGCCTTCCCCTTTGTGACAACCGTGATGTCGGCCATTGTCACACCTGACTTTCCCAAGCTTGGCAGGATCTCACCACAAAGCCTTGTCCAGGATGGCCACCGACTGGGGTCACCTGGTCACCCCACAAGTGCCATTAACTCATAAACCATGTCACCAAAGCGTGCCACTGACCTTGCTTGGTGTTCGATGAGTGACGTCCTGTCACGGGGGACACTACCAAACACTGACACTTGAAGGTGACACGGGGACCCCAGACTCAGCAGCAGGTGATCCTTGTGTTGGGACTTGGGGTGAGTCTGAAAGGGATGTGGCGCCATGTTGGTTGGTCTCATTCAAGATGGTGTCAGACACTGGTGCCAGTGTCACGGTGACAGCGGAGCTGGGGCCACGATGGGACCTGGATGGTGTCACCTGGGTTTCCCATCACACAGTGACAAGGACAGTGTCTCCACTGGGATCTGTAGGACTGGGGTCCTGTCTGCCCAGTCAATATGGCCTCCCTCTGGTTCAGGTCTTGGGTGTCCTTCCGTCCTTGATCCTAGAATAAACACCATAGACCTTGTCATCAAGTCAAGGGAAAGGGAAAAACGCCTTGAGGTCCCCCAGGCCCTGGTCACCAAATCCTACAATTGCTCTGCGCTTTCATCATCTTACATTTTGCCTGGCTGTCTATGTTTCCATCGTCTGTGTCGCTCTTCCTTGATCCATCACCTTTCTGTGGACATGTCACCCGTCAATCTATGAATTCATCTGTCACCTATCAGTCCGTCCATCCATCCATCCATTGCCTGTCCATCAGTTCCATCGATCGATCGGTCACCGGTCTCTCGCACCCTTCACCTCTGACCCATCAACCAGTATGCCTCCCGATGACGTCATCAGCTGATCAGTGGTGCCTCCATCCGTGGGTAACCCACTGGTGACCTTGGGGTCTTCATGGCCTTGTCACTCCCCACATCCCCCCCCAACCCCGGGTAGAAATCCTTTAAGGAAGACACAAGGGTGGGGGCCCCCCTGGCCTGGGAACGGTAATTGAGTGACTCCAAGATGGCAGGAATTCTGAGTTGGCCATTTCAGAAATGGGCGATCAAGAAGTCGCTCAGTGGTGGGTTGGAGGGTTGGTGTGTGAGAGATTCGGGTTCTTGGGATGGGTTTGTCAGCTGGATTTGGGGTGCTGGGTGTCAGATCTGGTGACATGGGGGACTTGGATGTCCCTATGCTGGACCGGGCAGATGATTTGAAACCCCAGACATCAGGGTTTCCATATAGGACCAGGGAATCCATACCGCACGCTTCCGTCCATCAGTGGCAGTATCTTCACCTTTGCAAAACCCCCAAAAAACGCAGTGGGCCTGTGATTGATTGACAGCTGCAGCCAGGGGGGCGTACTCTGGAGCTGTCAATCAACACACAGGGGTCCTGCATTTTTTAGGGAATTTCCAGCTTCGGATGGGATTGAGCAGGACGTGACCCCATGGCCACTTTAGGGTCAGTTGTGACTTTGTAACATTCACGTGACCTTGGTTCGACATCACTTGTGTCACACAGCGTTTCATGGTGACATGGTGGCATGACGTCACCAGGCATGTCTCCCCCGATCCAAGATGGCGGCATCTTTCTGGCATGACGTCATCTTTCTGGCATGACGTCACCAGGCATGTCTCCCCCTGATCCAAGATGGCTGCGTCTTTCCCCCACCAGGCACCGGTCATGTCCAAGATACCTGGGGGCAGTGGGGCGTTTCACTTGCCTTCTTTTTTATCATTTTATTTGGGAAAATCCCTGTTTTCATGGACTACTTTGAGGAATAACTAAAAGGTAAATAAATGAAACAAATTTTAACTTAAAATCCAGGGTTTTATCAAAATAAAAAAATTTTTCAAACATGCATTGCCATATGACATGTTCCCCAGAAATTCATGTGACATGCTCCTTAAATAAGGTGAAAAATTCAGAGGTGCTTAGTTCATCCACAAAGGAGCAAAACCTACGTAATTCCAGAAAATTTTCATCACCTGAAGGAAACCCCACTCCTGCTACTTTCTTCCAGTTCCTGGACAGCGGTCATCCCATTTTTTGGCTTCTGGTTTTTCTATTTGGGACATTTCACACACGGCCTCTCATCCATCCTTCCATTCCTGTCCTTTCTCTCCAAGCATGGGTGCAAGCTGCATCCATATTGTCGCACGTTTCTGTGCTCGGCTCTTTTTCATGACTGAGTAATATTCCACCGTGCAGATGGACCACGTGCGTTTGTCCGCTCACCCATGGACGGACATTGGTGTTGCTTTTCACCCTTCGCTTTCTTTACGTCATCAACAATTACGTAATATTTTCCATCTTTTTCCTGATACTCAGCCATGGTCTGAATAGGCATTAAGTGCAAAATTCTAGAACTCCAGAATTCCTAAGCGGCCAGTAACTCTTGTGACAGTATACTTTCGATGATGGATCCATTTTATTCTAGTTTTTCTCGTCGGTCAATTCCTGGGTCTGCAAAGCTAGGACGGCATCCACCAAACCCCATGGCTGCTCTGTGTGTGGAATTTCTCTTCCTCCCTCATCCCTCCCTGTGTTACTCAGATTCCTGCTGCTGTACCAAAACACGGGGGGCAATTAAATTATAAAGAGGAAAGGTTTGTTTTGGCTTATGGCTCTGGAAAGTCCACTTTAAAAAAGCCCACTGCTTTTGGACACAAACCCAATGACATCACAGGCCAGAAGTGACAGGCTAGGTTCCCACAATCTGATTGGCAGTGCCTCCAATGACCTCATTTCCTCCTGGCCACACCCCCAGTAACCTCACTTCCTCCCCCTAAGCCCCGCCTCTTAAAAGTTCCTGCCACCTCCCAATACCTCATTAAGCTATGCATCCATCAATCTCCCGTTTCCAGCCATGCCCTTGATTACGTCACTTCCTCCCTGTAAGCTCCGCCTCCTACAGGCTCCACTACCTCCTAGTAGCCAATTAAGCCATGAATCCATCAATCTCCCCTTCCAGGCCACGCCCCCAATGACCTCACTTCCTCCCCTAGGCTCCACTTTTTAAAGGATCCTCCACTTCTCGGTAGCCTTTTAATTTGGTGTCACCCCGTTTGTCCTTTTGTTGTTTGGGAATTGCTGCATTGTCCTTGAATTTTTTGGGGGCAGTACTGGCATTTGAACTCAGGACTTCTTGTAAGAGTTGCACGTTTCTCACTCTAGTCTTCATTTGCTTTTCTCTGATATCCACAGACCTCGAGAACATTTCCATCTACCCATCAGCCATTGCTGTCTTCTTTGAGAGGTACCCGAGTCCCAGCTGTGACACCACAGTCATTAGGACGGGCCATGGCCACCGTCCCCTCCCGCACAGCTGTTTATCCTTCCTCTGTGAGATCCCTAAAACACAGGCCTCGCAAAAGAAGAGGCCCCCACGATCGATTGTGGGTTCCTGGAGCCTGAAAGGACAGGTGATAAGTCACCTGTTGTAGTTTGAGTATTGTCCCCCAAAAGGGCCAGGTGTTGAAGACATGGTCCCCAGCTGATGGCAGTATCAGAGATGGTGGAGCCTTTAAGGGGTGGGGACTCATGGGAGAAAGTGAGGCCATTGGGGGCGTGGCCTTGTGGGAGGAAGTGATGTCATTGGGGTGGGGCCTTGCTGCAGGAAGTGAGGTTATTGGGGGCGTGGCCTAGAAGGGGAGATTGATACATTCATAGCTTCATGAACTATTGGGGGGTAAACCATTTAAGGGGTGGGGCCTAGTGAGGGGAAGTGAGGTCATTTGGGGGGTGGGGCCTTGTGGGAGGAAGTGAGGTCATGGGGGCGTGGCCTTGAGGGGTATATATTTACCTGATCCCTTCCCCTCTCAGTTTCTCTGCTTCCTGGTCGCCATGACCTGAACAGCTTAGCTCCACCCTATGCTCCCTCCATGATGCTCTCTGTCACCCTGGCCCAAAGCCATGCAGCCAAGTGATCATGGACTGACACTGTGACACCATGCTCCAAATCAACCTTGTAAGTTGATTCTCCCTTGAGTTTTGTCACAGCCACACAACGCTGGCTGACACATACATCACTTAGCCTCTCTACTACTACTGTGGGGATTTAAGAGGAGGTGAAATCTGGAGGAAGCCTTATTGATCAGCAGGCTGTGAGTCCTGAGCGTGAGCAGCACAGAAAACAAATTCCAGACGTTCCTCCAAGATCTGCTGTTCCACATCGACGCCCACAGTTCTCGTAGTCTGCCTGCAATCAAACCAAACAAATATGTTCTCCGTTACGAAAAAGCGAGCGGAGCTTTGGCTGCTGTCTGCTCATTCTGGGAACACCAAGACACACCGAAGTCACGCGGGTTTGCCTGAGGATTTTGGTAGGAAAATGAGTCACGGGGCTCAGTGTGTTTGAGAGTTGACTGACTGACTGACTGGCGTATCTGCTGGGGATGGTGACGGGAAATGCAAAGGACAACTTTGTGCAGACCAGGACATCCAGGGCAGGGGGCAGGCTCAAAATGGCGGTGTTGGTATTATCTGCTGAGGTGAGGTCAGCACATCAGAACAGGAGGACAATGCAGTTTGTTCCTCTCCCAGCCCTGGACAGCAGAAATCTAGGTCCAAGTGTGGCAGGATGACCCCATCTCAAGACCCTTAATCTCATCTGCAAGGACCCTGTTTCCTGAGGTCCCATGCTCAGGTCCCAGGTGACATGTCTTTTGGAAAAGACTCCATTCCCCTCACTTCTATGGAACTTGACCATATTCCAATATGGCAGCTTGACCCAATGGACTGGGTCCAATATGACCTCATCTCAAAACCCTCAATTTCATCTGCAATGACCCTATTTCCAAATGAGGTTCCATTCTCAAGTCCCAGGTGACACACCTTTGGAAAAGACACCATTCCCCTCAGTTCTATGCAACTTGACCATATTCAAATATGGCGGCCTGACCCAATGGCGTGGGTGACACAGCTGGTCTAGGATGACCTCATCTCAAGATCCCAATTCCATCTGCAAGCACCCTATTTCCAAATGAGGTCCCATTCTCAGGTCCCAGGTGACACACCTGGAAAAGACCTTCTTTCCCTCACTTCTATGGAACTTGACCATATTCCAATATGGCGGTCTGTGGTGAGTTGCATCTTCCTCCTCCTGTTCCTACCAGGAAGAGATGCACCCAGCAGTCCTTCTCTGACCCCAAATGACTGAGTATCAACCTCAATGCCTGTGTGCATCCAACATGGCGGACCCGCCCCTCCCCACTGTCTCCCTACCGAGTTTCTTCCATGCATGGATAAACTCCCTTCTCTCTTCCAAAGATTTAAAATGCATTTTAGCCACAGGACTGGGTTCCATCTGAACAAGTATGTGGAAATTGTTCTCAAGCTATAATTGTGCAAATTAATTGTTTGTCTGTCCTGGGTTTTGAACTCATGGCCTCAGCTCTATCACTTGACTCAGAACCCGAACCTTTTAGTTATTTTTCAGATAGGGTCTCATGATTCTCCTTATGTCTGCCTGCTTAACAGCTGGGATTACAGACCTCGAATGGGACCTCGGGTAATGATGCACGAGCCCGCTAAAAGCCATCAGCCGGCAAGACGTTCCCGGGAGCAGCTGTCCTCCAAAAGCTGTCAACAAACCCTGCGGTGAGCCGTCTGTCTCCCTGTGGAATCACAGCGGCAAGAAAACAGAATTAATCAGCCGTGAGCCACATTGGCCCCAGACTGACTGACGGACACCAGGCTGGGGCGACGCCCAGGGATGGGGATGGGGACAAGACCTCCCCCTTGCCCTTCCACCATCTTGTCCCTCCGTCTCTTGTCCCCAACACAGCACACTGGACGTGGCCACCGTGGAAGTCAAAGTCACCCTTCTTCCCCTAACGTGTGTCCCCAAGGCAAATTGTCCCAGGGACAGACACCTGGCTGACACACGTACGTGTCACCAGACGCCAGGACACCGCTGTGACCCAGATGCGTCCTCAGGAAGAGCCACCTCATCTTCCAGCAAAGAGTGTGAACTCGTCCATCTTGTCTCTCTCTTGGTGTGACCCGTGTCCCTTCCCAAACCTGTCACTCGGTCCTTTCTGAACACAGAGTCCTTGTGGCCTGGGAGGACATTGTCCACAAAGTCCCTTTCTCAGAGCCGTGTCCTGTATACAGGTGGCACTAAATAATTGTCCATGGAGAGGAGGACTTGGCAGAGGCTCAGCCCGTGTCCTGGGTGGCGGTGGCCGTCTGCCACCATCAGGAATGTCACTGTCACAAGCAGTTAATTCCTCCTGGGAGTCATCCAAGGTTAATTAGAGCCTGGTCACAGCTTCTGCCACATTGACTAATTGTCACCCATTAAGGCTGCTCCCCGTTGGGACGGAGCTGGGTGACAACCAACGTCGTCAGGCCGCTTCCCAACCCAGAAACAAGAAGGGGACTTCGGGCCGGGTGCTGCAGCACACGCCTGTAATCCATGCTGCTCGGGTGAAGTGGGTCACCTTCGTGAGACCCCCATCTCAACAGCCAAGGGGGACCTGGTGGCTCATGGATCGCCTGTCATCCCAGCTTTACGGGACTCGGGGTCCAGGAGGAACCTGGTTCAAGGCTAGCCGGGGCAGAAAGGTGAGACCCTATCTGAAAAGACGGACCTGGGCAAGTGATGGACACGTCAGCGAACCTAGCTGTGGACCCTGTGGCACTCATGGGGTCTCTGTGTTCTCTAGTGACAGCTGGCCCCATAGGTAGGTGACTTGTCAAATTCGTATCTTGACAAAGGATGGTGGTCAAGATGGAGTAAGGTAAAAATGGAGGGATAGTAGCATGACTTTTTGATTGTAGGGTCATTGGGGAGCGTGGGGATCAGAACTTGCAAA